GAAAAGGATATCAAGGCTGTGGTGGTCACCAAAAACATCAAATTCTGGGGAAACGATTTGATACAGAATTACGAGAGTGTTTACGGGGAAGAGTGGTTCGGTCTGTGGACCCGACACATGGAGTTCCTCGAGAAAATTCAGGAGCTTTTCCCCAATGGCTTTGTTAAGAATGACTTGCAGAAAGTCCGGTGCCCTATATTTGTCATGCATGGCGACCAGGTATGGTTATATTTATTTATAAAATATATTATTTTTGTGTTTTTAATATGCATATATAAATTGTAAATATTTTGAAACTCATGTCAAACCCTCTGTGCAAATAGGACCCGATCGTAGGTGTGGAGCACTCGCACTATGTAATCAAGAATATCTCGGACTCCCGACTCCACCGCTTCCCCAAAGGCTCCCATAATTTGCACTTCACTTTCGCCAAAGAATTCAAGCAATTAGTCGAGGATTTTCTCAGTGACGTCGACGACGGGTATTAAAGTCGATGAAAGAGTACGTTATGTAGTCTTTGACGCATAAAACTATTAAAACTACACTTTTTGTCTAAAACAGGTATTCATTTAAACATAAAGTTTGTCATAATTATTATTTACGAATATATTTTATATAATATACAGCACTTAAATAATAAATAGCTTTAAATATAATATATTTTTAAATAATAGTAAATAAGGACTCGTTTTATTGCATACTAAACTTATGGTAGGAATTAAAAGTTAATTTTATTTAATATTTTAAAGAAGTTTATATAGTTTTTCATATAGTTTTATAAATTTGTTTTTCTTAAATTATCCTTGCTCATTAGTAATCAATGCAAACCAGTGCAATAATTCATTTACTGATTAATTATCTATATTTACTTTGGAATATTATAAACTCTTTGTACTAAATATTCATATCTTATTTAAATGATCAAGAATCATTTATCTTTGCTCAATAATTATGATACCATTGCATTGATTTTAAATTGTATGTATTCTATATTAAATTAAACAATCAAAAATTATTACATATAATTTATAACATAAATACAGTATGTAGTTATTACTCTATATAAAATTAATTCTGAAAATAAAATTTTACAAATATTTTAGAAATCTTAAAGTTATTATTTATTGTAAAATACACTAATACTGTATATGTTTTGAAATTAAGTTAAGTACAAGTGATCAACTTATATAATAAATTAATTTTTTATTAATAAAAAGTGTGTAAATAGTGAACAATTGATTAATGACCGTCTGAGTGCATTTATGTGCCCTGACATAATATTAATTACTTGGCAAAACTATGATCACTTTATTTTCAAACCAAATAAAATTAATTTTTTATTCAATAAACCATTAATTTTTAAAAAATTAATTAATTTAAAAATGTTTTTCACGTCAATTTCATAACTTCAAACATGGTATAAAAGGTCGACTATAACACACAGATTCTATCAGAAAACAAATACAGTATTATTAAAATAAAATAATAAAATTCTGTATACATCTCATAATAATGAAATTCATACTGATTTTAAGTTTAAGTTGTTTTGTATTTTATGGCAACTGTAAGATAGTCCAGGTAAAAACAACTGCCGATCTCACAAGTGCCCTGTCCAGTGTGGCACCGGGTGATACCATTAATATGGCTGATGGTCTGTATAAGGGAAGCGTATTCACGGGCACCACATCGGGTAAAAGCGGATCACCCATTACTTTGACCGGATCTCGAAAGGCTGTCCTCACGGGCACTCAGTATGGCTTTTGGCTGAAGGCCGACTGGTGGGTACTTAAGGGGTTCACTGTAGCCAACTCGCCAAAGGGGGTTATGCTGGAGGGCGCCAACCATAATGTGTTGGACGGACTGGAGGTCTATAATACC